AGACTATCCTTATCCTTCAGAGAGCGCTGTTATATAGGCCTCTAGAGTGGGCCACATGCGTCACGTGCAGAAATTTGCAGAAACCCGGACTGAAAGCGGTGATTCGTTGAACGTCGCTGCTCCTATTTCTCCTGTGATCGTTCACCACTGGCCCTGTTAGTTAATTAACACCCGAAGGTTCATGTACTCCATCACCAGGGCACGTCCTGCAGTAGAGGGAAATTTTTGCAGAAGTCGCCTGCTCAAAGTTCTTCTCCTCTGGTACGCCCAATCCTACCTACCACCTTCTTAAATTTTCTCAACTTCTTGCTACTTTCCCCTTTTCTTTTCCAAAAATTCCTCTACCTTTTCCTAAAAGATGCCATCGAGGGGGGAAGGAAGAGGGGGCAGGTCAGTAGCCCTTTCGAAACAGGAAAAACTGATAAAAGTCAGCAACTGAAAACAATGCTCTCGGAAGCAATTATGGCACCCTCCCTTCGGTCAAATACGACCCTCCCCGGTCAAATACGACCCTCCCGCTGGCGTTCTTCGGCGAAAAAATAAAAGAAATGTCTTGTGCCATCATTTCTCCAACCTGCTTTAACTCTTCTGAGGCTTTCGGGTTGAAAGTGTCATGGTTCCGATGTCGTGATATTGAAATAAGCTAATTACCAGTAATAACAGTCTGCTATTATTTTCTTGTTATTCTTGTACATATTTTATGATGTAGTCATTACTCTAACTATAAGGAAACCCTCTTCGATGCACAATTTTCCACAGATATTTCTTCTATTCTGGTGGTGAGAAGAAAGACGAGCTGTATCTCAATTTGATATTGGAGTATGTTCCCGAGACTGTATACAGGTATAATAGTTAAAGTGACATTGCTGTAATCCACATGGTGTTACAATATTGAATATAATTTTTTTGTTTAGGGTGGCTCGCCACTACTCGAAACAACGGCAGTCTATTCCTTTAATATATGTGAAGCTATATATGTATCAGGTCGGTGGTCGGCTTTTAGTTCGTTATGGTGAAATTTTTTCGAATCATCAAACGAATCTTTTTTTGATCACATGATCGCCGAGAAAAGTCCTTCAACAGGCGGAAATTGATTGTATTCTGCTGTGTTGGAAAAAAGTCCCATTGATTAGTTGTTCTGGAAAGAAAACAGCTTATTACGTTTCTGCTCATCTGCTAATCCGCTGCGCTAAAGCTCGTGTAAACCGTGTCTACGTGTCGATTATTCTGTGGTGTTGGAAACAAGCTGCGCTAATCGGTGATTCTGCAAAGGGAACAGCTTATTACATCACATTTTGCTCATCTCCCTTCCCGCTGCGCTAAAGCCCATGCACCCTATATTTATTAGGATAGCCGAAATGTTCTGTCATATTTTTCTAAAACCTTGCCCACAGTCTGAGAACGTGTGGTAGATGTATAGAATAATACCTGAAGTAATACTCCTTCTGTCAGTGCCTCTCACTTGTTATTTACTTCGTCGTCATTGGCAATATAAACGGCATTTTCGTCCCGCACCGTCAGCACATACTCTTTCGAATTTTCCCTCCTTGCGACCCGTATCTTCATTAAAACCTCCTCCTATTAAGTTGGTGGGAAACTTGTGTCATACTTTTTATTAAAGACAGCTCCCGCGATAAAAGTGCCAAGGATAATAGCTGATCAATTATGAAACAGTAATTCCTCAATGAGGGGAAAAAAGCAACGAAGAGCCCTCAAGAACACCACAAAAAAATTGCTCCCTTACAGTTACACCGCCCTGCGGTCCGTGGGCAACCCCTGGCTCACAAATCGCTTTCCTGGTAGTGATCAACATCCAATGCAAAGAAAAGAATACGAAAAACAACAAAGACACGAACGAAAAACACTTAAAAAAGAAAAATTCAAAAACTTGGCGTCCGAATTTGGGGTTACGTGCAGTGTGCAGCTTTTGGTGCATGTCGAGCTTTTGCACCACAGAAATTGCATCATTCGTGATTTTTACGCGTTTTACCTTACGAGATGGGTTGCAGTTGACTGTATGTGCTCCCAATGAATAAAATGTAATAAAGGAGAGCAGAATTATTTATGGGCACGAGCGCGGTCAGCAAAAAGTACATGCAGTTCCGATTAATGCCCGCCGTCCCAACAAAGAACAACTGAGCGGCTCTCCGTCAGAGGGCATCTAGCAAGTGGGCGGTCCAACTGGGCGGGCGTTAGAACTAGAACTTTGAGCGGCTGTAGCTCGCTCCTCGCTCACTGTGGAGTCGAGAGTGGGACAGTATCTAGCTTGGGGGCTGAACTACCTGCACAAGGAAAGACGATCATGTACTACTTGAGCGCGGGGGCTGTATTTGAGCATTCTTTTTGGAGAGAATCATATACTCATCATCATGCAATATTAATGTTGCGTTCTATGCCAGTTTAAGACGAACCTACGGAACTTTGCTTCACCACGCAGGCTGGTGCAACGCAAACTTGGACTTCATCTCTCAACTTGGGATCGGGTCGCGAAGCTTTTATCATCCATATAAGTAGCAAAAGTGCAAACCTCCCCCCTCCCTTATCCGTCACCCTGTCGTCGAAGTGCCCTGATTAAGTATTGGTGGGGATGAGTTGTGCTTCGAATACTGAGAGCCGTATCCTTCGTATTGTGTTCATCAGCTATATAATAAAGTTCGCGTGTTAACTTATCGTTATCTGGCTTCATTTTTTTACTTCCTTTCAGCAGCTCTCTGAGTCCCGGTTCCATCCACTTTATCTTTTCTTGTAACCAAAGCCCCCTTACGATTGCCATCCGCGTCACAAGCCTACTATCTTATCTTCTGGAGCCCTTGGTAGATCTTAGTAGAGTTATCACTTCCTGTCACCCGATTTGTTTCCGTCCAACCCTTCATCGCTTGTAGGAGCCAAAGCCCATCTGTTGCTGTGACTGGCGCTACGAATTTCGTACTCGACAGGTGGACACATGTACTATAAACATACTTAGCGGCTTATATATAGTAGTATGGGCTAAACGTTTTTAGTTCAAAATGCTGTGGTAAGAGTGTTCAATTATGAACTCAATGAACTCAGAAGTGCACGACGTACGAGTTTTAGTGGCCACATGAATGTGAATCGTGACACAACGTTCGGTGTGTAACAGTTGAAAGGACTACAATGATGACGAGCGAAAAGGATGTGTGAATGCGACCTGACGTTGGGTTCCAAAGTTCGTTGGATTCCGTGCGATAAGATCGATCGATGATAAGAACTAAGTGTGTTAGAAAAAACCCGATGGAACTAGTTACAGAAATGGATGAAAGAAGATGCAGCGGCGAAAAAAAAACGAAATCGCAAAATTGCTTTTTTTTTACAGTTTTAATATCTCTGGGAATGGTTCTGTCGCGAAGCCTGGTTATCTAAATGTTTTGAAAGAGAAGAAGCTCCGAAAAGTTCATTCCAAAGATCTCGAAAAGTTCAAAAGTTTCAAAGCTTTTTTGGGATTTCTGCTCCTTTTGACTTTTTCGAAATGAACTTTTTGGTTCCTCTTGTTTTGAACATTTGGTTTTAATGTAATTATGCAAATTTGAGTCAACAAAAGGACGCGATGGATAGAATAGTAACGAGCATCTAACTGTACAACGGTCACAATTTGATCGGGTAGCCGTTCGACATTATAACACCTTTGTTTTTCACGGCGTAAATTCCACAGGGTCCTAGAGGGTCTCCGTAGATATTCAGTTTTCTTCTCTCTCTCTCTCTCTCTCTCTCTCTCTCTCTCTCTCCTGAGCTGAATAGGACAGCTATTTTTTTGATGTTTCAGTTTTATTTTTCGCTGAGGGGTGTGAAGAGCTCCCATGAGAGAGAGAGATGAGGCTTGACTCGATCAATTCGTCACTGAAATGTTGGCTATTAGGTACCGGAACCAGTTGAACTTTTCGCTGCCTGGTTGGGATCCTGTTATTGTGTTCGAACTTTTCCTGGCCTACTTCGTCCTCGAAAGATCACCTGCTGCGGTTTTGCTTATTAGCGTTGTTTGTAGCATGCCTTTCAAGCGTCGAAATAATTAAATAAATATAAAGAATATTTCCATACCCAATTCAAAAAATAATCCGACGGAAACACATATTTTTGCTTATTGGTAGTTATTCTTTATAGTGAACAGGATGACTAGGCCTTTTTTGTTTGTACCCTGTTCATCGAACTCCTTATGTCCTGTTTATGGAGGTCCCTTGCACCGGCGATCCCTTTTGATCTTTTTGGTCTCTTTTGCTGGTCTGCGTTATTGTTGGAATTTTAATTGCAACGCATACACAGCTGTGGAAAAAAATTTGACAAGCCACAAAATCGCGTTTCAAAGAGTTCTGAAGCTCTTATTCAACAGCAAAACGGTGGAAACGTAAGAGATAGTGGGAGTGCGACAAGAAAAAAGAAACTACGAAGCGCTCTGAATTTGGTTTGCTTACTACTAGACTGATTAGGGCCTTCGTCACCCATGGAATCGACTCCACAGGAGCTTCAGAGGTATCCACGGATATTCAGTTCCAAATTCCCTAAAATGCATGGAACTGCTCACTCGTGTTGGTGGTCTTCTTCCCTTTGACTCATGCTTCAAGTCATCTCAAAGATGCCTGATGGGATTGAAGTTATGGCCTATTCGGTTACTTTGTCATCCTGATGCTGATCTTGAGTGCCGGGACCTAGGCCTCACATACTTTTGGTTGCTTAGGGCCGTTTTTACTCGCTTGAAAACAGCTCTTCCAATCTGCTTTATCTATATCCACGATATCGGTACCCATTTCATGGAAAATCATAAAAAAATTTGACAGGAAATTCCCATTTCTTCTTGCTTGTCCCAAGTTTTTTTTTCCGCAGCTGTACGTTATCGTTCCCCGATTGCCTTTTTTTGTTTGGTTTTGGTTTCATTGGTCCTCGTGAAAACGGCTGTCAAATAACAAATCCTGTTTGCGGGTATTCGAACTAGTATCCAGCATAATATAAATCATGTTTTATAAAGGCTACTGCAGGGAGTGAAATTCCAGCTGTATTCATTTCAGCTATTTCGTGCTCTAGCCTACATTCATGGAATCGGTATTTGTCATCGTGATATTAAGCCGCAGAACCTACTCATTGATCCTGAATCGGGAATTCTCAAATTGTGCGATTTTGGCTCAGCGAAGTACCTAGTCAAGGTTTGTCCATTATCATCACTGATGAGTAATCTTTCTTCAGATACCTTTGAGCGAAACCTTAGTTTCGCAGTTATATTTTAGAAAGATGTTACGAGGGACTAAAAAACATTAAAGGTTGACCCAGCGATTTCTACCACCGGGTTTTCCATTTAGCTGAGGTGGTGGGCATCTCCCGTTTCACTATATGTCAGATGAGTAGCGGAAATAAATTGTAAATTGAGGTGGTGGGCGGAGTCAGTGTGAAAAGGGGGCAGTTAACCCACTTGCGGTTGGGGAGTCCAATCCCTCTAAGCCCTTTATCTACCCTCGGGGTCGGTTTACTTCTGCCAGACTAGTATGGGTGAAATAGGGTGCAAATGCTGGCCTGTTCATCGGACTACCGCAAGTCATTGAATTTAGAAAACGGTCAAGTCACTGCCCTTTTGTCTTTACAAACCTGTAGTAAATTTTGTTACGATTGGCCTACCCCTTTTTGAATTTTGCAACAGAGCGAATGTTGTTAGGCTATCTTATCCCCCAATAAGTTCCACAAGAAACTGAACTGGAGGTTCCTTAATTGTAGGAAGACAAGTAATTATTACAGCTTAACCTAAATGGAGTGGTACAAAAGTTGCTGCCTTCATTATCTCACCGTCGCGAGCTTTTTTCTGCCAGTTGTTGCCCTTGCTCATATAAGGTCACTAATTATACGCATTTATTGCACTAATTTGTTTAAGGGGGAGCCAAATGTGTCATACATATGCTCTCGGTATTATCGTGCTCCGGAACTTATATTTGGTGCTACCAACTACACAAACTCAATCGATGTTTGGTCAGCAGGCACGGTAATGGCTGAACTTTTACTCGGACAGCCGATTTTCCCTGGTGATTCGGGTGTCGACCAGCTTGTTGAAATTATAAAGGTAAGAGTCGGTTTATTCAGCCACTTTTGTTACTTTGGCTAACAGTATTGAATTTCGTAAACCTGTTTAGGTACTCGGTACGCCGACTAAGGAGCAAATTCAAAGTATGAACCCCAACTACAAGGAGTTCAAGTTCCCGCAAATTAAAGCTCATCCATGGGCAAAGGTTAGTGGAAAACTACTGATGTTCCGACAGGAGTCGGTGTTAGCGCGTGTCCTCCTCGGAACCACCGTTTTATGGTTTCTAAGGCTTTTTGTCTGAATGCCCTGCAATGTTAGATGCGTATCGGCTGGGAGACTCCACGCTTCTCCAGACTTCCGACTGGATTCTCCGGTTCTGAAATTGGGCTAGGTATTCGAATCGATACGCCTCTATTTTCTCTCTTAATTCTGCGATTGCTTCAACGCTATAAAAAATATGGACTATGAAGACTATGTCAAAACCGCTTTAATCCAGCAACGGGTGGGGGGGGTGTGCTTTTCCGCAGCCTCACCAGCTACGATTCAAGAGTCTTGCTCTGGTGAAGCCTGTGAACTCTTATGAAGCTGGAGCAGACTCGTCGAGCCGCTATGGTATTTATATGGAATTTCATTGTTTTACAAGAAGAGTTAACAGGTCTCTACTTACCTTGACTGGTACCATTTCTTGGCTTCACAATTTCCCTGGTCTCCACTTGGTAGCTCTATGGCAAGTGGCCAAGTGCGAAATCCCCCTCCCATGCCCCGCCCCTCCCCCCCCCACCTCCGCCACATCCGCACTGCCTCTCGGAAGCATTTCATCTAATGGCCGGGTGTTCCCAGCTCTTCGTGGAAAGTTCGTGAATGAGGTTATTTCTAAAAAGTGGTATGTCATATTGTATTGTATAGTGTCCCTTAGTTTGAGCTTCGTTTTTCGTAGGTTTTTGTATCCCAAAATCCATTCGTACAAGAGCGTCAACATTTTATGAGTGACAAAACACAGAATAGTGGTAGTTATAACGGACTTTCACGATTTTTGAACCTCGTATCCCGGTGACGGAAAGGAAGTAGCTGCGTCCACTGAAGTGTAAGTTTAGGAAAACAGACGGGATGCCGTTCTCCATAACGCGTAATGAGTGCGTAGGAGTAAAAAATGCACATAACATCACTCTTTTTTTGTCTGGGCAGTCCCTGGCAAGCTGGAAGTGTGGACTTGCGAGCTTTCGCTTCCTAGCCTCATCACGAAGCCTCTTCCACCTGGCCCTCCCCCACTGGGCGCGCGAGCGCAATAGTTGATGAAATAAACCAAGCTTTGCAAAAGTGTATAGTACAGACCAGTTGGGTCAGTAAACTGGCACATGGCACATTCAGTTGTGTGCATTCAGAAAGCCAACATGTTTAATTTTACGCGCAGTTTTCGGGATACTTTATCCCGCTTGCTTCCCGAGACTTGCGTTGCATACCTCATTCGGACGAGGTACTATACATTTTCGTGATACTAAGCTCGAGGCATTGCCTATTTTGTGAAGGGAGAATTAGGAAATCTGCAGAGTCAGCTCCATTCGCAGTGAAAGGAAGTTTTGCAGCCATTTAGAATTTTGTGTTGTTGGATATTATTTGAGCAAATCACCCACAACTTCTTCAGGTGTTCCGTGCAAGTACTCCACAAGAAGCTATCGATCTAATCTCAACTATCATCGAATACACCCCGAGTGCCAGGCCGACACCACAACAAGTAAGTACCTTGCTTACTTTGACATTGCATTTTCTTAAGGTTCATGTTTTTTACGGGGATATACAGATTTCACCTCTTAGAGGCGAGTAGATAATTTGTTGCCCTTGAGGGAATGTTTAAGGTGCGGGGGGGGACTTTTTTGTGTTTTAGGAAACTGTCCTTGAGCTAGGCTATTGAAATGACCCTTATGCCATGAAAAAAATTTACTCTTCAGCAATTGAGAAGTGGCAGAGCTCGGAGCTATTAATTATAGATTTGGCTAATCATCCCGGGAACACTGTGTTCTTAGGCTTAGGTTCATACTTTGTGTCAACGTCCACTAGTGTTTCGAATGAAGATCAGCGACTAGGAAGTATAGGTATCAATCTAGCGAACGCCAGCGTACAGCAATGTCCAAGAGTGAAAAGTATGGGGTAATTAGGAGGGTGGCAGACAGCTGGCGTGAAATAGCGGCGTGTGCGACCGCACCATACAATTTTCTTTCCATCCTTTTTTCCTTCCTTCTCTGATCCCTCCTCCTTTACCTTTTCCCTTGAATACTGCACTGGTAGATGCCTCTAGAAAATGCCGCTGGACCCTCGTAGCGAGAGCACGTCTGCTTGACAAGTGCCCGTAACCCTGCTGAAGCAGAGAATTAGTCTTGATTTAAGTTGCAGGGGAGTGAAATTGCGGCGTGTGCGACGCACGCCACAGTTTCACTATGCCTGATCCAGCAGTCCTCTACCCTCCTACCTTCCCCACTCTCTACTCCTGGTGGACGCTGGCGCTCGCTGAATCGATGTCTATACTTTCTTTATCGCTGAAGCTGGCGTTCGCTCGAAACGGTGCCGTACGCTAGTGGATGCGGTGGACGCTGCCGCAAAGTATGGACGCAGCCTTAAGATTAGTTTTAGGCAATACTACACCTTCGTCAGTATTCCGGGAACGCCTATTTTTCATTTTTTTTTCTTTCAGGCATGTTTACATGCATTCTTCGACGAGCTGCGGATGTCCGAAACGAAGCTACCGTCTGGTCGGCCACTACCTCCCTTAGAAATGGATGGCGGCGATGATAATCGTGGAGGACATGGTGGACATGATGCTTCAAATGATAGCTGAAAAGCTGTCAGATTCGTCATAGTCGTTACAATCTCTCCATATGTCCGTCTCCTCAAGCAGCGCCACACGTGCCCTGTGATGCGCCGTGCTCTGGTCTAGCGCTAGCTGAATGCACAGTTCTTTTTATTTCGTCGACGTTTTGAATAATTTTCATTGATGATTGAATTGTGTTTCTTTTTGCTCCGTTTTAACAGAGAGTAAGTGACACGAGTTCATGTTAGCCTGTCGTCGCCTCGTGTTGCTTCATTCATTTGTGTCCCCTCATCATCGTTCTTTGTCAATTCCCGATGATATTCGTTCGTGTGTGACTCGATCGCCGTCCCCCCATGTCATTGTTGGTGATGTGTTCAGCGATCTGTGCATCCTCTTGTACATTTACGTTTTTATTCTTATTTTTCTCTTATTGTCTCTTTTTTCCTTGTTTTCAGCCTCGTTCCCAGCCCCTTTCACACACATCTGTCATCAACTCGTTCGCGATTCTTCATTAGTCGTGAATTACACAGTTTAACTGTTGGATTTGTGCTATACAGAGCAGACAGCAGCAGCCGCAGTCACTGGAACAGGCGTCTTCTTTTGAAATCATGTGGCCCGCCCTTGAGAGTTCGAGTTAGTGTATATAAGTACTGATGGTTTTGGATGAGATATCGTACACACACGAGCACACCCACGCACCAAGTCACCTACATCCACGCTATCCTCCTTTAATTTATCGCAACTTTTATTGTGGAGTCTCGTTTATATTCTCGCATCGTTATTATATTCACGTGGTGAAATGCTCTATTCCCAACGATCCCCTCGTCATCCCCTTGCACCCCCCCCCTCCTTCCCTGAAATTCGTTAGACCATCATTTTGATTGCTTCTCTTTGTCCTCTTATCATACTAGGGTCGACAGTGGTGTGAGCTGCTCCCTCAGCTTCCAAAGACTGTTCTTCCTTTCATTTACTATTTAGAACCATCTAGTAGAGAATTTATTCATCTCTTCTGTCTCTCATCTGTGTCTCCGTTTTTTTCTGATTGTTGTCCCGAAGCGGTCATTGAGTGAGGCTATGTCGTGTATGATTGGCTCATAAACATTAAATACGTTAAGAGGAAAGTGTTGGCTTGAGTATATGTCAGCGTTCATATAATTAATTGCAAGGTATATGAGATTTTCACGATTAAAAATTGATGGATTCTGTATAGTGATTATGTGCGTGTAAGTGAAGAAAATAATACCGAAAGTTCCTGTTTCCTGTACGAAATGGTGCGATCCTTTTTATATTGATAGGTTCACAAAGAAGGACCCTCATTGTTGTCGAACTGTACAGTTCAAGTAGTTATGCAACGAGTTGCACACCTCTGCAAGGACGAGCACAGCTGTATTATTGTTGTAGTCGGATATTGTCCGTAGTCAGGGAGTTGGGAGACAAAGACGCATTACACGGTTTCTCTATGGTAGGTTACCGTCCTCCTCCTCTGCCAGCAATTTGAAGGAATGTCCTTTGTCGCAAACAAGTGGTTGTAGTGGAATGAATACCTCACCCTGTTGACGAGATGGTTACACGGCAACTGGAGCTTATGGTTGAGGTCTTGGCACGAAACGCCAGAGCGAAGAGAAGTAGAGGACCGCGGCTGCCAGACATCGAAATGTGCGGGAAACATGTGGCGAGCTAGGGGTTCTTTATTCTTTATTCAGTACGTGGTGTAAGGCAACGTCAGAAAATAAAACATGCAACAGAAAACAAAACTCCAAGGAAAGACAAACGACAACTATGAGGCAAGCAATTGTTCAGCTAGTGACTTTCTAAAAGATGCCAAAGAGCCTTGGATGGATGCGGTTTTGTTGAGGCGCAAATAAGCAAGTCCTGCTCTGACAGTGAAAAATTTCGTCTAAGTGTGTTTTAGGTGTGGAAAAAGACAACTGTAGCTGAGCCCGCCCTGGTAATAGACGGTAAGGAGCTATGAAAGTGTAAGGCATATTGAGCTTTGACAGCGAACCGGTTGATAAGGGGGATAACCAGTGCTGCGTTAGTTTGGAATGTTGCGCTGTGAGCACTGGCCATAGAAGTTCGTCGCTGACCCGGACCGATGGAAACGTGAAACCACAAAGAAAAATAGCGAGGTGACATTGTTAAAGGTTACGTCAATTGTATGCTGTTTTCTCATCCTTTACGGACAGAGCTTCAGTGGAACAGTTCTCGCTCCTGCGATCACTATGCGATATCAGAGCCATATTTTAGACGTCTTTGATGAACTTTTCTCTTCAACAGTTCAATTAACAGCTATGTATCAATCTCTTGAAAGCGCAATCGATGGTGGAGCATGGAATATTCTTTGATTGTTTCTGGAGTCTAGTGGGGATGTTTAGGATTATAGACGGCCCGTTTCTTTTTATTCAGTGGCTGACTGTATGCGTCCTCTATTACTTACGCCTCATTCGCTAGGTTTAATCACTTACATCGGGTACACAGTTAAAGGCAAGTGCCTGATAATGGCCAATCGTGTAGGATGATACTCCTGAAGGACAGTTCGGCGCCTGAGCAGGCGATGCGCGAGCTCGCTTTTTCGAAGGAAGGTACCATGCGCCCTATCAATGCTGAGCATCACCGACCGGCACGCCAGCGCGATGCCCGCTCGCCCCCGGATGCCAGATGAGTAATAAAATTCTACATGACAGCGTATCTACCGTAGCGTGACCGGCCCGACTGCAGGGAAAATTGTCCGAAATAATTTATGCAGTTTGCGAAACAAAGGTTTCCTTTTAGAACGTTTTGACCGTTTTTCTCTTCGCTTTTTTCTTATTTTCCGTACATATGTAGTCGCTGCTGATTTTTGGACCAAAATGTTCAACATCTCCTTAGGCCTTGAGGAGCTAGGTCGATGAAGACGGAATTTGGAATCGTACGAATCATCAGCACATTGAACGAGTGATATAGATGCTAGTGCGACTCGCACGGTAGATTCGGAAACGATAAACACACATCCACACCCAGCTGTCAGTGCGGCTGCGTTGGCGCAGGTGACCAAACTCGTTTAACGAAAGCCCAGCTGAAAGGGACAAGTGACCCAATACTGTGTGTACGCTTCTATTTCGTTTTCCTCCCACTTCGTCGTATGCGCTCTTCACAAGAGGCAGAGAACGCACTCTAGATAGATGACTGATACCATATGGCGGACACGCCCAAAGTCCGCAGGGAAAGAGTGGTAACTATTGTATTAGCCATGAAGTTTTAAATCAAGAACCGCTGTTATCTTAAGGAGCACGATTTGAGGGCGAATCCCATAAAGACGCTCTCCGTTTCAGTATCACCAGTTTGGGACAGAAAAGGCTGTGTTATTTAGTGGAGCCTCACGTGAGACAAGAATTGAGTATACGTCTACAACGAAAATGCAGAATGCTATCCTGTTAGCGTGTCTGTCGGCATGTGGAGGCCTGGCAGAAGGTTTTGATGCAAAAGCTATCTATGAGATTTGCCTCAAAAACCGAAAATGCCTATGTCATCCTCATTATGTTCTCGCGGTAAGTTACGATAAAGTAGACTATCAGATATTTTTGATGCTGTTACGACAATTAAAAGCACGGTGTACGTTGCCTGAAACTAGGGGTCTTCGAGGTGATTGTTGTATGTACACCTAAGGTACGTTGTCTAGCAACGAGTGATGACGTCGAGTGAACCATTAGGAGTTCAAACTACAGCGGGCTCTTCTTTCCACACAATTGCCATGGGTTTTTTGGGGGGGGGGGGGTCAAATTCACAGAGTTTTGGTGGCACAAGAGCGATAAGTTTACATCTCATGTGGTCCAATATTAATTGCTCGCTAGGGACTAAAGGCATAAGCGACAGAATACAACCAGACAGAGAGTTAAACATTATTCTATTGGAGGTGCAAGTCGGCACCTATTGATTACTAGCATGAGATCCAGCAGAATGGGGAATCTCGTTCAGCGAAGGCAAATCTACGATGTCAGCAGGGTATAAGGAGTCTTAATTCGGTCGTTCTATGTTTTTTTTTTGCTGATGTCTTGAAAGGTGCATTTATGGTCAGCACCTCATTGTTTGTAATTTAGCGATTGCCGTCGTTTTGCCATCATACGTCGTGTCCTTAAGTCCGCTTCAGCATGATCAGCTTGAGCAGCCTGAGATGTTACTGGGTAGAAATGATGGTGCTGGGTTATGATCTGGGATACGTACTGTGATCCGAATTAGGGGAGTTCGTGAAATCCGTTCTACTTCAACAGAAGTTGTTTCTCACTCGATATGATTCACGGGGCGCTCGATAAGAAGCCCGTCGATGTTACTTACTACTAGGTCTTGCCAGCGCGTATACTGTGTTGTTCTGGTGTTCATTCTTGCGATGTTGTTGCTGTGATTGTGCTATCAATCGCTCGCGTATCGGGCAGAACGCCAACTCGCGAGCGCGGCAAACTGTGATTTGAAAACCTTAAGGAGCTGTCTTATTTATCTTTAGAAAAGGTTTGCGTGATGTGAATTTGAGGTTCCTTCCGAAGAAGAAGGCAAAGGTAGTGGATGTGGGTTCTGGCAGCGAGCCAAATAGCAATGTTCATGGGAAAATTTTTTTGGCGCAGTTCAGCGCCGTGGAGGGGGAGAGGGCATTTCGCACTCTTGCTACTTCCTGTCAACGTGTCGAGCCTTCTATTTCGTGAGCTTACAAGAGTTGACAGGTTTGTTCATGGTTGGAGCTTGCTCCAGCTTCACAAGAGTTCACAGGTTTCACCAGAGTGAGACTTGTAAACCGGAACTATCAAAGCAGCGAAAGTGCAAATCCCCCCCCCCCTCCAGACGCCGAACTGAGCCACTCTTTATATTCATTGTTGAATACTTTGCCTTTGACGTCGAAAACACCTTGAGCTGTTTTTTGCAGGTTCAATATATAGCTGGAGAGATGAGGTCAGCTGGAAAGCAGCTCCAGCTTCTTCACGATCCACAGGCTTACAAAAGGACAGCGTATGTTGGACCAAATGACATACCGCCTCATGTTGTACAATTCGTGAATGATTTTATGAGCGCCACGAACGTGAGGTTCCTAATCAGTGTCTGAAACGATCTATTTCTCTCAGAGAACGTAGTGTTGGTGAGCTTTTAGATTCATGGGACTGCTACAGCAAAGGATATTCGTCATTTTATCACTGCTGGTATACGGCGTTATCATAGCACTTCTTTTTGGCCACTTGAAAGAGCTGGTGGCAGTCAAAAACAGCACGCTTCGTTGAATCGATCACGACCACCAGATAATCTTCAGCCTACTGTGAAACCAGTGAAGGTGAATACTCCTTTATTGCTTATGTTTATCTTTCATATTTTCGACAACAGCCTTCACAACATGATTTTCAGATTGCTCCACATTTTCGAAGCGACCAGCAGTTCACAGAGCTCACGAGCTCCGTCGGTAACATCACCTCTCTTATGAACTCTAGAGCTGGACCTAGATTGGCTGTGGCTAGCATGCCCTCAGGTTCTACGAACAGATGTCCTCTGGTCACGCCTCTGTTCTTAATTTCTTCTGCTGTTTCTACTGCTGAGGTCACGCCAACAGTGACGCCAACAGTGACCAGCACGCACCCACCTGCTCAAGCAGAGATGCCTACGATGTAATAATCTAGTACACTGGTGTGCCCTCGATGCCTCAATAGTTGAATTTGAGTACAGTTCCGGAACATCATAAGTAAACCTGTTTTAAAAGTGCCTCTTCAGGCGTCCTGTGGTAGAGCCCGAAAAGAAACAATTAGGATGCGTTGTATGTGGTGATACGTATGCCGAAGAGGGAGTCAGGACTTCGTCTACGTCAGAAGTGCACAATGCGATTCTTCTTGCGAGCTTGTTGGCATATGGATCTTATATGAGAACGGATTTGAAAACTATTTATGACAGTTGTAACGAGGGCAGATGGACCTTGTGTAATCGCCATTATGTTGACGCGGTAAGTTCTGTAGTGAGTGCATAAGGTTGGGTTCATACTTTGCGATTTGCGCGACCGCGCTATTTAGAAATCGCACCTCTTCTCACGATAGCGCTCCGCAGCTAATCGCTGAAGCATTAAAGAAATGAAAAAACGTTCCACCCTGGCTGCGATTGAATCAACGGACGTGGCACTGACTGACAAGGGAGGTCTTTCAGGTCGTGGCGCGCTTTTCGGAAATGATTTGTTGCATGTTGTAGAGGTCCGAATAAGGATCACAAAAATGGGTTTCATTTTTGCTATGCGTTCCTGGGTAGGTCAAAAAGTGAGTGCAAAATTTGCTGGAGAGAAACGATT